TGTGCACATTAAAAAAAAGTGATGTTTAGACATTTTTAAAATGGCAAAGAAATGACATTTGGAGATCAACAAAGTGAAATTCTCCAATCATGATTAAATTTATTTGAGTTAAAATACTACTTGCTAATTCCTGACAGAAGAGCAACTGTTTCCAGCAACACTTGCACATTTTTTCCTCTGGGAAAAGTTCAGTTTTGATCTTCTGATTGAAAATGCAGCTTTCACACTCTGATGGAAAATCGCTATCTAGTTGTGCTTAATGTAAAACACAACCATAGTGTATCTTTAGATTTATTTTAAGACATTCATATGTATTGCTTAAAATGTTTATTTTCTGCTTTCTGCTTCAGGCAATACTTCGATTCATGTGTCAGTTCTCCAGTATGCCAGGGAAAATAATCTAGAAATTTCATGGAACACACCTCAAGAGACCGAAAAGCTTGTAGAGATGGTGCACTCAATTAAACAGAGGGAGCAAGGTCCTACCAGGCTAGGTGAGTGATTATGTGGATGTTGATGTTTAAACAAGAGGGGAAAAAAAATCCTAGAAATTCTGAATATGGCCTGGCCCTAATCACAAGTTCATGTCAGTGCTGTTGTGGTAATGTTCTGCAGCAGGACTCCTGTTTTTTTAGTTCACACATGTTTTACTATATATACATTTCTTGGTAAAGGTTCAATTTTCTCTATTAAAATGTATATGTACGTTACTCGAATTAGGGTTTGTCTTAATGTATTTTGTGAAGAAGATGACCCGTTTCTTTTTAGCCTTGAAGTAATTCTCAGGTTTTGCGATTCATTATCTTTCAAGCAAGCAAAACATAATTGAGAAGTAAAGACTTTGATCGTTAACCTTTCAGCATCAATTAGTTGATTAGAAGTTTAGCAGCAGAACTGCTTATGCTGACTTCAATAGCTGTCCTTGCCAGATGTTTGTTACTCTGTACCAAGCCAGTGTAACTGATCTGGTTGCAAAATAACTTAGCAAAACAGTAGTTATGTTCTGGGTGGCTCAGTTCCCTCATCCAAGTTGCTGTGCTGGTCCCACAAGGACTTGGGCTGGCACAAGGCTGGGGATGGTTCCAGGGAGCAAGGATCGCCTAAGGCGGCACCTTAGCTGAAGAGTTACTTGTAAAACATCATCTGCTGTTCCAGACAACTGCATCCTGAAAAACATGTCCGCTTGGATTTCCATGTGCTAAAACATAACACAGATTTCCCACTGGGACTGTGGAAATTCAGTACACACACATGCATCGGTTGTAGGCTTCAGCAAAAAAATGATTCTCCTACAGCCTATCTGATCTTTCACCAGATACCCTGAGAATTTTGTTCTTCTGGACTGGAACCACATTTGCTCTGGCAGCCACCTAGCATTAGGGTCCTATAAGAGTTGAGGAGTACACAGATTTTTAGGGTCTTTGGCCTACTTCAGACTGTAAAGAGTTATTGGTACAGAAAAGTGAGAAATAAAACCTGACTTCCATAGTTCGCAGGAGGATTAGCCATGATTGCTTTCTCAGCCTGGAGAAATAAAAATACCAGATGGCTGATGAGACTTCTATAGGCTCGTTGTGGGATAAATTGTTACGTATAAATAGATAAGTTTCATGAAGCCTTCCACGTAATGCGTGTAGTAAGCCACACTGAACTGCAGGATAAACAGAGGAAAACATGGCCTTTGGGAAATGAAAGGGGAGAGGCAGCCACATGACATACTCGTTAGTGATTTGTTTATGTCTCATTGGAAAATGCTCAGAGATCATAATGAGGGATGTGGTGTAATCAACCAAAATGGAATCGAGTAGAAGTAGTTCCTCCCAAATGAAGTAATGAAAATAAGTCACTGTGGTCCTTTCCTGCACCTTGTCGTGTGTGTGAATGCGTCTGACTGTGTGGGAGACTCGGCATCCGTGGGAAACGCATGGTCATTCATGTCATTCTGTCTGTGCTCAGGCCTCTGGAAATGCAGAGGCTGCTTAAAAAGTGTAGGTGGCTTAGTCTGGATGTTGCAGTTCCTTAGGCAGCTGTGGAAATCTTTCCTAGCCTATAGAGAGAGGGCTTGATCAGGATTTACCAATCAAAAATATCGTTACTATCAGACCAGTGCTGTTTCTTCTCAATTGTATTGGCTTCCCTATGGTAGAAACATGATCCTAAGTTATCCTTATTCAATCTCTGCTGATCCAAATCACCCTATTTCGGTCAAAAAAGCTATATGTGCAGAGAGCAACTGTGGGCTCTGTTGCCATCGCTGCTAAAGTCTTACTGCAGAAAGTGTTCCCTTTTCTGTTTCATTTAACTAAAAGGAAACTCCAGGAGAGAGATGCATTTTATTAGTGAGAAGTAATGAAAAACCACTGAGTATTTAAGGGCATAGGCAAAACGAAAAAGAGCAGCCTGTACCACAAATCTTTCCCGTGCTTATGCAATAAGATAACATCATGCAAACTTTGGCTCAAGTAACTATTGAGAAGAAGCTCTGGGGATATTCAGACATAATGAAATTGTGTACAACTTCACCTAAGAAATAACTGAAAAAAAGACAACTGACTGCAGGGAAGAGCTAACTGTGTAAGTCTTAATTCAGCCAGAAGTGGTCTATGCAAGAGAAGTGGGAATCACATAAACACACCTCTGTTCAGCATTCATGGGTATTTAGAAGCATTGTAGGGAGCACATTGAGTCCCTGAAGTAAATATCAGTAAATGCTTCATTAAAACCATGATTTCGATTGCTTGACCTTTGCTGAAATTACCTCATTTCGGCTGATGTTCTCCATGCCCACTGCCTGCCTCAGACTCAAAATTTGGAGGAGGTATGATCTATGTGGCTCACTTGTATGAAAAGCATTGTTAAGGAAATATATGTGGGGTTTTCTTCTCTGTCCTTCCCCAATTTAGGAAAAAAATCTTAAATATTTAAACTGAAACTTTCTGTAGTTGCTAACATATTTGATTAGCAGCATTGATCTTTGCCTGTCATTATTAAGATGGTATAAGTGCTTTAAAATTCCCCTGTGGTTCAGGAAGTAAAAGCTCACCATAGCACTCTCCTTGATCCAAATCTCTGCCCTGAGTGATGTGGTCTGTGCAGAATGTTCAAAATCCAGCCCTTATCACCTGCCTAAGGTTGTGATTATGCCAGCAGCTGCCCTGACCTAAGGGCTCTCATCCACTGAAAGACAGAGCTCTTCCTCGCTTGCTCCCCCACTACTGTTTCTGAATTGGTGGTGTCATCTCCATTCTGAAGCCAGCTTTGGGTACTTACTAGTCTCTTCTCTTAAATTCATTGTCCTAGCAGGGTTTTTTTGTGTGTGTTTTTGCTTGGTTTTTTTTCAGTTCATTTCTTAAAAGGTTTGTGAGTTGAATGTTGTCCTGGTGGAGCTCAGGGTCATGACAACTCCTTTGGTGTTAAGAGAAATGCAGGATTTGCAGCCTGTGGAGTCAGAAAAGCAAAGGAGAAGATTTGGAGCCACATAGCCTCCTCCCTTCAGTGCTGGTGGGATGTTGGACTGACCAATCTGTGCTGCTCTTAAAGAGTCCAGCCATTCTTTTAATTGGCACACGTTAATTCCAAAATACCAATGTGCTGAGAATCAACTCTTTAAAGCATTGATCTGTGGGATAGGTTGGCAATAGCCATTTTGTTTTGAAATTAAAATAATCTGCTATTTTCAGTTTAAAAAACCCCTCAATTCAATGTCTAGTCGAGTTCCTAAATTAAGATATAAATACTAGCTTCAGGATTATCATCATGTAGGATTGCTCCTGATTAGACAAGTCCTTGGTTAAATAGGTGCTTTCAGAACTATCCACAGACTTCATAGCCCATGGCTTTTTCCTCTACCTCTTCAAGTGCTGAGGAGACTTTCTGTTTTGCTTCTTTCCCAGGCAGCTTTCAGTACCTGTAGGTGATTAAGACCTCGTGTAGTACTTTTTCTTTTTTGGTGGAGATGTTGCAGAAGTGTTAGTGAAACCACTGAGGCCACTTAAGGCACAGATTCACAAGTTCCCGGCAGGAACCTCCGCCTAGCTGGAATCCCCCGTCTGTCACAACTCCACGGAGCCTCATGGGGGCTTTATGTTTTATTCCTCATTTCAGACAAAATTAAAGAAAATAATTGCGAAGGTTGCTTTTAAGCAGTTTCTACTTTCCCTGAGGCACCCACTAAACCATTAAATGTCTGTGAATTGGTTTATTTTCCTCCACATTGGCTTATTCTGAGATGAATCTTGTTTTTTATTTCTTGGATGTATTTCAAATGTTTCTCGGGCACCTTGTGCTCTCTCAGTTCATTCCATGATGTTCATAACTGCTCCCAATCTAGTATCTGTGATTCAGATTAACATGCCTTTTTACACGTTTTTCCTCCTTTATCCAAATCATTAATGAAATTATTCAGCAAGGCAGAATCTAGAGTAATTCCCTGTAGGCTCCCAGTAAACACCTCCAACCCTACTCAACAGATTGTCTTTTGTCCTTAAAGCTTGTTTATGTCCATTTATTCAACTTTCAGTCCTTGCAGGAGCCTCTACATGAAACGTTCTGAATTATTACTTCAGAATACGAGTCTGGCTTGAATGTGCATCAGATGATTTTTAAATAAATAAATAGAAAATATTCAACTAATTAGCCCTTATTGAGCATTTTTTTTCAAGGCAACCAGAAAAAGATTCTTATAAAGCCTTTTCTGACTGTCAGAAGTTCAGCATCAAACGTTCATAGTCTTAGCTGAGAGGAGAATACTGTGCAGGGATGCCATCCCTTCTGCATTTTTTTCCCCTCATCTTTGTTTTTGCTTTAATGATTATTCCAAACATGACTTTTGTTTTGTACACTATAGTGTAGTCAGGAGTGTATCAGCGCTGAAAGATGGAAAGAAGGTGTTGTGGTGTGGCGTGATGGCAGCCTTTGGAATGACTGACCTGCCCTTTCTAAAATGGCCAGTATAGATCAATATTTTTTTGTTTTTTCTTTTTATTTATTTGTATTTTTTCCATGGACATGCCCAATGACTAACAATCATGCTCTACTGGCAGAGCTGAAAGGCTGCTGGGGGCTCAATGCTCCTGCAAGCTAGATCTTTTTGTTCAGCTATCCAGATAAATGTTTAGATGGTCAAATTTGGGAAGGAGGTGTGTATGTGTGCACGTGTGAAATTAATTGTGACCGCTATGTCTGCCAGGATCAGCATAAGTGTACCGTGTTAGGAGGGAGGAGGTGAGGGAGAGATGACCAGACACGCATTTCCCATCACGTCTACTGCCATTGGGAACAGATTTTATTGCGTGTCATGCTGCTCTCAGCTCTATTATTCTCCTGTATGCGATGAAGGCTTTTGGCTTTGAGACTTCCATCTTCATTTCTCATGGGTTGTATGTCTAATGCCTAAAATACACGTGAGTATAGCAGCCATTCTGCTTCCAAAGCCCATATGTTACCTTTTTTTTGATAGCACATTGTATATGTGAGAAACAGAAATGGTTTGTAACAATAATACATGAGACTAACATAATTTACTCTTATGTTCAGTAAGCAGGAAGATGTTGACTGCTAGTCTCGGCTTAGGGTCACATGCACATACAGAGAAAAATCCTTAAAAATGTGTGACTCTTAAAGCCCATAGCAAACCTCCCATTCACTTCACTGGAGCTTATTTGATACCCCTTGTCAGTACTAGTAAATGATGTTTTGGCCACTGCCAGATTTTATTTAAAGACAAAAAAAAAAAAGTTTTGTTGTTTTATGGAGCAGGATTCAGGGTATTTTCTATTAGCATTTGGGTTTTCTCTGGGGTCCATCACTGAAATAAATAGCTGGTGGTGTGGTCCCATACAGCTACACAGATTTAAGAGTTAGAAGGGCCCATCCCCAGTCCCCTGACATCTCACTGCTGCACACTTGCACTGCCCTGCCCTCGTTCTCTGGGAAGGGTTGTGCATTGGGCCTTCAGTCAACTGAGAGAAGGGCCAAAATATCTGAGAAAAATGCATTGTATGGGTTTTTTTTTTTTGAACGACTATTTTTGAGACATGAAATTTAGACCGTTACTGGTATGCAAATGGCATGATTACTGTTATGTTGCAGTCTGGTGGTAAGAAAACGTTCAAGTTGGTTGGCTTTTTAGTCAATATTTTTTATTACGACCTCTGAGGGGTTTGCTATTACCTTCCCTGGTGAGACGTAGAGACAAACAGCAAGATGTGACAGCTTCCAGCTTGGGATGGTGACTTTCTGAATCCCTCTAGTAGGACAAAAGTGTTTTTTGATCATGTCTTCAGACACCTGGCTCTTTTCTCTGGAGCTGGCTTCAAAATAAGAGGAGAAATCCAAAGAGTTCTTAGTACACTAAACCAAATTTTCCATACATTAAATTGAGTGATTGTTTTTGGGGGACTTTGAAGTACTCCCTGGTTTTCTTACAATGAAACACGATTTCTTTTTTTAGAAATTATAAAAATAATGGATTTTCCAGTTTACAGATATGTATGAAAGTTTCTGGAAGTTTTCAGAATTCATGGAAAAAACTAAAATGGAGCTGGAGCAGCTGGTGACCACACCAACCACACAAAAGTCAGAGTCATTAAAAAAGATAAACAGAAATTCCAAGTACTTTTCAAAAATGAATGAAAAATCATTTGTGATTCTTACTGTGCAAAAGTTTAACCTAAAATATTTGAAAGTTAAAACCTGAAATACTTTTTTAGTAATTATTTATAGGACAAAAGGGAAATGAGTCAATTTTCTGGCACAGTGACCATCTTGGAGAAATCTCAGGGACTGGAATATCATAATAGTATTTTCTGTATTTTGTTTTACCCTTCTTTATAACTAACATGCCATTCTGCATCTAACATCTACCCCTACAGACACAGAGAATAACTACTGGAAGACAAAACTATTTGTAGCAGTGATTATGAGACAGCTGTATAGTGCATGAGTTAATACCTGCTATTGGTTATTTTTTCTGGTGAGGAACAGTTTGTGAAATGCAATTGCCATCACCCAACTAATAATGATGTTTTAAAATATATTTTGTTGCAAGTAGAAAATTTTGTAAAATATATTTTGTTGCAAGTAGAAAACCTCAAAATTTTGAGGTTTTCCCTGAAGAGAAGCTCTTAAGTGCTTTCATTTCATCTATAAAATATAATTCAAAATTATAGTGGGAGTGAAAATCAAATCATAGGAATGAAATAAATCTACACAGTTGGAAGAACTAAATAGAAGATAATCATTGCAACAGAAGAGAAACATCCCATTTTGTTCTTAAATACTATCGAAAGCTTTCTGTTGATTTTTCTCTTCTTTTTTCCTTCTGATCATAACTGACATTTCCAAAAAGGATTTTTATTTAAACAAACGTGCGTCTTCCTATTTGAAAACTGGTGCTTGGGAAAATATGTGACCTTCTCTAGACAGGAGATTGCTAGTGGAGGTAACGATGCCTGATAGATGGAAGCTCGTAGGCGGAGAAATTGATGTGGATCCTATTCCTGTGGTAGGTCTGACGGGGCCTGGCAGCAGTTTCTAGTGGGTCCCAGCTCTTCTCTTTAGTTGTGGGCGTCTGTGTGGAGAGATGACACATGAAGATGAGGCTGAGGCTCTGGGGAGGAGATGTTGATAATGGGGAAGAAGAGGTGACTGGATAAGGTGGGGAGAGGATATGAAGCTGTCAGTCAGGGATTGTAAGGTGTGTGAGACAACAGGAAAGGATGGGGAAAGCAACAATATTTGAGAAGGGAACGTCACCTCCAAAACAGTACTGTGGCAAAGGAAACATTTGGACTTTTTCCAGATACCTATTGGCTAGATTCTTCCAAGGGGTAAATTCTTCCTGAAACCCTAATTAAAGCCTTGTAGAATATCCAGTTGCTGTTACCACATTATTAATAGTCAATGTGCTGAATGAGCTTCCTAGAGGTTGCCCCGTGCTTTCAGCAGCTTGGGAAAAGGATCTTTGCTCCTACTGGTGGAAGGGGTTGGGTGACATGATGAAAAAAGACGTGAAGTGCAAAGCGCTCAGGTGTGCTAAGGTATTCTGGAGGTGTGCTGGTGAATTATCTATATCTGACTTCCAGTGTTTGACAAATGTGTGTGTTATTTGAAATTGTTCAGTCATTTCCTCAGGCAAGCGTATTTCTGCTCCACGGTTATTGCAGATTACTCAGAGAAACTAGTCTTTCAAGTACTCATTGTTCACCGTTCACTGTTTGCCCTGAATGTCACATCAGTCACATGGTATCGCTTCTACTTCCTGACCTGATAACTTCCAAGCCCAAAGGAGCTTTTAAGCAAGCTGCATGTCATGATTCCCAGTATAAATATTTGTGCAAATGCGTGTCTGAGTACAAGTACTAGCAAAGTGCTTGCTTGCTGAGGTCATGATTTTGAACAAAAATGTGCCTGAGTGTTCACAGATGTTAAATGGAAGGGCAGCAGCTACCCATTTAAGCCAGCCTGTGATTCGGTAGGTAAGGTGGAATTTCTTTGTGTGTTTTGTGGGGTTTGGTGGGTTTTGTTTGTTGTTGTGTTGTTTTGTTTTTAATATGAATTGCCCACTTATGTTATGCATTAGTCTGAGTCATGATTTCAGAGAGGTTGCTGGTAGCAGGGAGGCAAGATACGCTTTTCACACTTGTAGAAGAAGTTGACCAAATTAGGGAAGGACTAGATAGATCTTCGCTGGGAGCTGAGAAACTTGTGTGCCCGATTCAGGATGGTGTCAAGTTGTAGATAAGATAGCCACTCGATGTCACTGTTGTTCTGCAATTGGGAAATAAGTACATATTCTTCTACACCATCTCTTTTCCTTTTGTGTAACACAATAGTAATACTTCCAGAAAAGATAACTACTAAAGCGAGGAGCATAACTTTATCTTTGTGGCTAAGGAAAGGTATTAAAACTCGTATTACTTCAGAGACAGGGGAGCTAAGGTCGTCGTGTGTTGGGATGTATTAATAGTACTGGTAGGTTCTTAATAGCTGAGATCTTCCGTGTAGCAGCAATAAAGCAGGCATTAAAAGTCCTTTAAGTATTTTCCAGTACTGTGTAACCTAGTAATACAAAGTAAGATTTAGTTTTATAGCCTCCTATGATTTTTCTGTCATGTCTTTCATTTATCTCTTAATTTCTTCTTAGGAAAAGCCATTGATTTTGTAGTTCAGAATGCAATGTCAGAATCCCATGGAGGGAGACCCAGCGCATCAAAGGTTGCGATAGTCATCGTGTCGGGGAGATCAGAAGACACTGTGGAGGCCTCTGCACTTTCTGCAAGAATGAATAGTAAATCTCATTTCGCTGTCACTATTTTTGAGAATTGTTGCTTTTTAAGTAATGCACTAGAACAAAGGATGAAAAGTTAGGGCACTGGTATGTCTATACAAGTTCATGGATATGGACTTACTGTGCATAATGTTCTGGTAAGAAACAGACCTGAACAAAACCTGCCTCATGAAGATGCCTTTGAATTATTGGTGAATTCAGGACCGATCTGCAATTTAAGCTGAACAGCTTCCATGAGCTTCACAAATTAGTGGCGTTTCATTTTCCTGGTTCCTGCGGATAGAGAGGGATGACAGAAATGTGATCTAATATTATAAATTCAATACTGTTACAGTACAATGAATCTTGAAAGCTTCAGTGCAATAATAATAAATATAAAGAGGATTTGGTCAGATTCTGCACTGACCTGTTCAGGAATATGCTTTTAGTATCAAGTTTTCTGGCTGTAGTCTCTGTACTGTAGTTTCCTCAGATATTCAACTGAGGAACAGTGACTTCCTTTGTAGATTGCTTTGGGAGCTATTGAATAAGGCATGGACTAAATAACAACTATTATTTTTTAATTAAATGGCTTGAAAATAATCCAATTGCCATGCAACTGAAGAAAGAAAACAACATATTGAGATTTTTTTACATTTGAAAAAAGTGAAGATGTTGTCATTAAGTCTGCAGCTGCGTTTTCTTGACCATGCATGATCTTACTATGCTTGGGACAAATAGAGCTCATCTTAGCTAGCGCTGTGATTAGAACATTACTATTTCTGCCCTTAATTGCTATTAGCCTATGTGGAGGGAGCAATGCAAGTAATACGTGAAAATTAACGGTTGGAAAAAACTTCTCCCAATTATTTTTTTTTTTTTTAAGAGGCAAATGAAAAAACTACTACAGCAAAGACCTCCTTCTCCTGTGCATTGTCCATTGAAAACTTTTCATCCCTTTTCCTAGGGGTTTCCCTGTTTCCAATTGGAGTTGGGAATGAATATGATGAAGACCTGCTAAGGACTTTGACTGGATCATCAGCTGCTGACAGAATCATGAAGCTTCAGAATTTTGAAGACTTATCCACTATGATCACATTGAATAATGAATTTATTAAAAAAGTGTGCATGGGTAAGTTCAATATATTTGTAGCCTCATAAATGGAGCAAAATCCCCAAATCAAAATGCCAAAGAATGATTTTTCTTTATTTGAGAAGTCAGCCCAATACTGCTTTGTATTTGGTTTCACTGGCCATCATCACAAATGCTAACCTAGGCCACCACCATCACTTAGGTGTAGAGCAAAATCATAGAATCATAGAATGGTTAGGGTTGGAAGGGACCTTAAAGATCATCTAGTTCCAACCCCCCTGCCATGGGCAGAGAAATCCTCCACTACACCGGGTTGCCCAAAGCCTCATCCAACCTGGCCTTGAACGCTTCCAGGGATGGGGCATCTACAACTCCTCTGGGCAACCCGTTCCAGTGCCTCACCACCCTCAATGTAAAAAATTTCTTCCTTATATCTAATTGAAATCTCCCCTCCATCAGTTTAAATCCGTTGCCCCTTGTCCTATCACTACATGCCCTTGTCAAAAGTCCCTCTCCTGCTTTCCTGTAGGCCCCCTTCAGGTACTGGAAAGCTGCTATAAGATCACCCCGGAGCCTTCTCTTCTCTAGGCTGAACAGCCCCAACTCTCTCAGCCTGTCTTCATAGCAGAGGTGTTCCAGCCCTCTGATCATCTTCGTGACCCTCCTCTGGACTCGTTCCAGTAGCTCCATGTCCTTCTTGTGTTGGGGACTCCAGAGCTGAACACAGTATTCCAGGTGGGGTCTCACGAGAGCTGAGTAGAGGGGCAGAATCACTTCCCTCAACCTGCTGGCCATGTTTCTTTTGATACAGCCCAGGATACGATTTGCTTTCTGGGCTGCCAGTGCACATTGCCGGCTCATGTTGAGCTTCTCATTCACCAGCACTCCCAAGTCCTTTTCTTCAGGGCTGCTCTCAATCCATTCTCCGCCCAGCCTGTACTTGTGCTTGGGATTGCCCTGACCCACATGCAGGACCTTGCACTTGGCCTTGTTGAACTTCATGAGGTTCTCACAGGTCCACCTCTCCAGCCTGTCAAGGTCCCTCTGAATGGCATCCCTTCCCTCCAGTGTGTCCACAACACCACACAACTTGGTGTCATCTGCAAACTTGCTGAGGGTGCACTTGATCCCACTGTCCATGTCTCCAACAAAGATGTTAAATAGCACTGGTCCCAGTACTGACCCCTGAGGAACACCACTTGTCACAGGCCTCCACATGGACATTGAACCGTTGACCAGAAAAATCTGAGCCTTTTCAGCATGTAGGCAACTGATATTCTAATCAAGCAGCTTTCAGCAAGATTTTTAAAACTGCTTAGGCCTGAATTTCTAAGCTATTGTCTTATTAATAATCAGGGCTGGTCATTAACTGAAGGACAGCAGGAAAACTCAAGCTGTCATGAATGAATGGAATCATGCTTCAGAAATGTTACAAATTGGTTTTGAGTAAAGATTTCAAATTACGTATTTTTCTGCACAGACCTAAGTATTGTTATGTGTATGTCTACAAATAATTCAGCCAAAGTGTAGGAGAAAAAAGCATAAGAAAGAATTAACTTTTCCAAGAAAATAAATGCTGGAAAAAAAAAGTGTAAAATGTTTAAAACGAACATTCATCTATTTGTACATAGCAATGCTCCACACCGAAGGAAACTTGCTTCAACTCTGGCCAGTATTTTACTTCTCTTGCCTCCTTGGTCTGTGTGTATGTAGGTATTCATTGCTCATATTGTTGTTGTTATTTCTGTTACAATAGCATCTCCATGTCCCCACTGCCAACCACCGTCTCACCATGTTAGTCATCGTACAGGTTTTTACCAGCTTCACTAGGGCTTAGTTACATCTCCATTAAAATAAGTGGACTTTTTTGCAGAGCCAAGTACCACTAAGAATGAGGAAGTTGCAGAGTATGTGGAGATATCCGATTAGTCTCCACTGGGATCACTTCTGGCGTTTTAAAATCTCTCCAGAGCATCAAACAGCTGCCATTTTCTAGATTTAAACAGCTGCCATTTTCTTTCTTTTCTTTTAAAATAAGCTTTTAAAGATGCATTTCCTCTCCTCACACTGTAAAATATGTGATTTTCTTGCCCTAAATTACATTGATCCAAGATATAGGATGGGGAGCAGGAATTTGAAACCAGTAACTATTTTCTTATTGCAATCTGTGCTATAACCTATTGGTACTAGAGGTGAGAGCTTTGTATTTTTATGAAACATACATCCAGCTTTTCCAAGAGCAAAAATCATATGCTCAGAAGCTTCAGTGATAGGTATCTTATAGTAGACACCTAAATCTGAAAAATTTAGCTCTCCCTTTTGCTGATGATAAAGCCTTTGCTGGTTTGGTTTGTTTTTTTTGTTTTGTTTTGTTTTATTTAAGTTTCTTACAATCTGTAAAGTATAATTTTCCCCTCCAGACTCATACAGTTGGATTTCTTGTATGGAGGGAGTCTTACTTTATATGTGGAAGTGTACCAAGAATAATACTATTAAAAAGGTTTAAAAGATTTCCTAAATGCTTTCAAAATACATTACTTGTCCTAGAAAAGACAGAGCATATAGCATATATATGCTAGCATAGTATAGTATCCTATAAAGAGTTTGCTAGTCAGTGTTTTAATTTCCCAGACATGTGCTTATCACATTGTTGTACCATAGTTCTTATATGAAATTACTTTCCATATATCTTTAGGTGTGTTATGTGAGCACATAAACATAGAAGTTGCAATTCAGTGGGTGCCTTGTGACCAGCTAACTGATTACGTAAAAAACTGCCCATCACAGTAATGCCTGAATGTAATCAAACTGAATTTGAGTGTTCTTATTGCAGCTATTTTCATACTTATGCTAGTTGCTCACAAATCTTATCTTGGGGCTACTTGCCGTATTTGTCTTTCTGCATTTAATAAATGTGTGTGTGCATGGGTGCGTAAATTCTCATTACCTGCTAATTACCAGAAATATTCTCAATTCATCACAAGATTCAGAAGTTAGGCTGGACCCTGCCTCAGAGCTAAAGCCATGATCTTCTTTTAAGCACCATCTGGGCAGAGCTGTGTGTCAGTACAAGAAGTGCTGTAGAATTACAGGCTACCCATTGCTCATAGGGTGTTTTGGGACCAGTGTCATTACAGAAGTCAGGTAATGCTAGCAGTAACAAAGTTTATGCCTTTTTTTTTTACTTACTCTTGTATGCTTTGGACAAATGCCTGCAGTCTTCAGGTAGGGATTCTTACATTCTAACACACAAAAAAACCCTTCTTACAGCCTAAGTCACATTTTTAAGTAAGCAGTCTGTATTTTGGTGGCCACCACTTAAAAACAGCTGGATAAGGGAGTGAGACGGCTAAAAGATGTCTGTTTCTCTTTCAGACCCTGTCAGAGAATGTATAGATGAGGATGGAAACAAAAAGAAAGTAAGTGTATTGTTTGTGTCATCCATCTGGCTTTCAAGTTACAAAGTTCAGGCAGGATCATCAATAGCTTCATAGGTAATCTGAAACAGTGTTGGACAATATTAAGTATTAAGAATTATTTCAGAGGAGGAAAATGTTGGCTTTTGAACAGACGGGGTAATTTTGCACACAGAGGAGACTTCCTCTAATGGCATCTGATCTTGTAGTGTGTTGAATACTACTGAAGGTAGTACAGAGCCAAAACTGGCAACGGTGTGTGTCTCTCCTGATAAAGAAAAATGTATTTCCATCTCCTGGTGAAAGAACTTCTGGGAAAGCTAGACATGGCCAAAATAAAGGTGCATGTATAGAGAGAGACAATGTCATTGTCCAGACCCTTTCCTTCTGCTAAAATTGTAAGTACCTAGTCTCTATGAAAATTTTATAGGAAGATAATTGTTGTGTGATAGTCATCTCTCTAGGGAAAACCATCTCTTAAGTAATGAAATCAAAGTTCTTAGTGTTCGTTTGCGGTAAAGCTTTTATTAATCCAGAGAAAATACTCAGAAATATTAGTAAACCTGTCTGAACTCTTAAAAGTCATCTACTCTAAGAAAGGAATGATGTAGATGTTGTAAATGGTTCAGTTCCTTCATTTCAGGTGAAGTGCCAGGGCTTTTGAGCGTATATGATACTTCATGCGTTTGAAAATATGAGCATAAGCTTGTTACATGCTTTCTAGTAGGGGCCAGTTATGAGTTCTACCCTAGGATTTATCTTGAATTTCCAATACATTAAAAATATTCCTTTAATTTTTCCCTTGTGAAGACGTGACTGTAAGGAAGGATGTGGATAATTAAGAAATGCTTATGAATTGTCTGGACACAGGAAACATATTTATATCAAAGCTCCCTTACACGGTTGGCCTTGGTCAGCTTGTCAGAACCCAGAAATGCTTTACATAGATCAGACACTAAGTATTACCTGGTGGCTTTCAGATTGACTACCTAATTAAGAAAAAAACAACAATCAAAACCTAAATTTAAAAAACTTTCTTATATAAAAAGTAATGAGATTCCTATTGTTTATTCAATTTTAATTGCATGTGTCCAGGCCTCTGAGCTCCTAGAAGCAAACACAGGTACATGTAGATAAGTTCTGGGAAGGCTAAACTTGACTTTCGGACATGTCAGGTTTCCTTTTTTTTTGGTGATAAACTTAAAGCACAATTTCCGTTCTGCCTAAAATGCTTTTGGAAGAAAAGAGGCCAGGCTCCAGTCCATACAAAAATGAACTACACTTTCAAATGGTAGCCTTTAGGGGGATTTTGTCAGCCAGAAAAAAAATGAGGTTTAGAAGACCTTGCCAACATGGTAGCCATTGCCTTTTGGATCAGGCTGTTGAGCATCCCGTGGTGCCTACAGGACACTGTGAAAATGCTCTGCCTCTGGTGTTCAGCATCCACGCTCTGAGATCCTCCGCTGCCTCACGGGCAGTAACGTGCCATCGTTGGCCTGTAACCCTCTTCCAGCATAGTCCACAAATCCACAGGGATGAAGAATCAAGGCTCTTTCCTAATTCAGAAAACACAGGCTCTTACATGAGGTCCATAATATTCCAGGCGTTACTCCGAGAGTTACTGCAGGAGGCTCAGTTCTCCAAGCAGGATGTCTGTCATACACCTGGAGATTGTGGGAACTGACCTCTTGCAGTTTGCAAGGAAATCAGAGATGTCAGGATCAAAAAAATCTCAGCCTAAATCCTACCAGTATCATGAGTTATATCATTTGTTACATTTTTGTTGTTATTATCTCTGTACTGGAAATAACTGTCAAAGGAAGATTCATGGTTAAGGTCACTGTTAGTAGCAGAAGGATGGAGGATCAAATGTGCTAGGTCAGCCCAAAAACGCATCCAACCCTCTGTATTATGTGGCCAAACATAGAAATCAGGGAAGAATGTAAGTACAGATGAAAATTCCCTGAACTATTCAAGCCTTGAACAATTTGTGACTCAGGGACACCCTGAGCTGTGAGTGGCACCTTTTTGTGTTTGATAGTGCTTGATAATTTTCTCCTCTATGAATTTGTTCAGTTATTCTTTGAATCCATGTAAGTTTTTAGTACTCATCATATCCAGTGGCAAGGATTTCGAATAGTGCTAAATACAGGCAGTGTAAAGAACCACTATTTAATATTTGAACTTGCCAGTTGACAGAATATGTGAAATGTTTGTGATAGATTAAGGTTTTTTTAATGTCATTAAATTCATCAGTAGTCTTGTTTCGATGCTTTTAAGCAGGCATAAAAGTGATAATAGAAGTGCAGGTACTTGTGTTATAATGGTAGCACTTCATCATGAAGTGATCTGTATAATGATCTGCTGCATTTCTAGTCTATATGTGGCAGTAAAAATCACATTCCTAAACCAGCAGTTTCTGTAACATGACTTTTGTAGTACGAAACAACTGCTACAAAACTTTTGTAGTAGAACAAACAAAACCCTGACTGAATTAAAAGATGCCCGCTGATGAAGCTGGTTGAGGTATGTGGCTGTCTCTCCACCAGATGCACAGTAAGAGAGAGAGTGTGCAAGTCCAGGTCTGCAGGTTCAGAGCTCCCTCAGAGAGGAAGTCTGAGGCTTCCTCCGGTGTGCTGGCAGGCTCACTGGTTTCAGCAGACTTATCCTTCACAATTTAGAAACCTCTGCTTTTGCTTTCCTTTCTGTCCTATTTTTACCCCTACAGTTTCGTATCAATTGGGATTTAGGCTTTCTTTGTCTTCAGAGCCCCTGCGTTTTCCTCTGCACCAGGATTCTTGGCTTTTTTGGATCCTTCAATTGATGTTTTTGTTTTAATGTGCTGTGCTTTGCTTTTCTTGTCCAGCTCTTAGGTGTTTTCCAATAGATGTCCTGTTAAGGAGTGAAATAAAAACGATTAGATATGTGTGGAAGCCAGAGAGTCCTTTGCCAGACTTGCACAGCTGTATCTGTACCCTTCCCTCCAGGTGCTCCACTTTCAGTGAGTTGTAGGCGAGACAACTATAATTAAAAACCATTCAATTTCTTCTTCCTATCTAAATATTTTTTCCATACCTAAAGCTCATGCAACTTTTTCACAGCTTCTTTTAGGCTCGAAAGCCTGAAAAGTATTAAGCCACTTTCAGGGCCAGTTGCCATCTCAAAGTCCTGAAACAAACAAAACAGGTTCAGTAGATTAACTTGTATTTAATATGTAAATTTTTATGGCTGCAAATCTGCAAATTTTTTTTTAAACTTGATGATATCATGTAGCTCAGAGATACAGAACAATACTTTCACATCACTATTCTTGGTTTACACATTAGTGCCAAGAATAGTCTGTGAATTATGTTGTGGTTACCTAGGTATTTTATCACTTTGCTCTTCTCTTTCATGGAAATAATGGGTGAACTGAAAATGATAGGTTGGGAGATGACCTTGCCCAATAGCAAACATCTCTTCTTCCCTGTTTGTTTCTGCTTGTGAATATCAAGAAGTGTTATCCAGTTCATAGAACCACAGTCTCACTTGTTACTAGTGCTCCTGGACTCACCTCTGTAGAGACAGGTCTGGAAAGGGCTGTTTCCCACATTTGGGAATATTCTTGGGAATGCAGACCTCAGGGATGAACACTCTGTTTTGAGATTCATTGAGCCTATTTATGGACTTTAGTGCTCTGTGGGACTGAGGCCAGAGAGCTCAGCTTTTTGCAGATATGAATCTTGAGATATTCCAGATTGTGACCACATCTATTTCTCTCTTATTTAGTAGTATGTAATCCTGGTGCCTTAAAGTTTAGACTGTCCTTTAGAAGATGAGCGTATGTTTTACACTTTATCTTTAGTTTTACAAAACAACTCAGTATATCCAATAACATTAATTTGGTAAAGGAACAATTTCCCTTTGGGAAGGGAAGAACCGTTCTGAAGTTTTGGAGTTGTGGATAAAATAACTAGAGTATTCTACGCCTTTCTAGCTTGGAACAAATATTCCTGCTGTGCCATGACCATCTGCACTCAGAGCTCTTTCTAAAATAATGTTATGACTTATGAAAACTAAAGGCTTTGACATTTAAAGAAAAACTAAGAGGAATTCTTTGTTGACTATGCTATCCATGCATGCTGTAGGATGGCTAAATTAACAATAGATGGAGTACCAGATACTTCATTCTTCTGTAACAAAACATCTATTCTAGACTATTATCTCTTGCTTGGAATTTCAGAGTCTATTTCTTGCAGTGTTGCTAGTTTAAACTTTCTCATCCTCGTGAGGTCCTTAATACACCGCGTTCTATTATTTAATTATCCAAGGCTAATTCGAGTAGCACTGCTGTCAGTGTCACTTTACATGCTAACTGTAGGAGCGTGGCAGCAGCCAAGTTTTGCATTTTTCTCCCCTCCGCCCATGTTTTTTTCAATTGTTAAATATCCATGTCTCCCTATCTAGCCTGGTGACAAATGGACATTACCGGATCAGTGCCACACTGTGACATGCTTTCCAGGAGATTACACGGTTCTGGAGAGTCACCAAATTAACTGTGATAGGATGCCAAAACCGGTATGTCACAGCAATCTTCCTGCCGTTAAGATTGAAGAAACTTGTGGCTGCCGATGGATGTGTCCGTGTGAGTATCTATCTTTGCATGTATACCCCCCCCTCCCCATCGCTTGAAATGTTTATCGGAAATGTAATGCTGAATGGAGCTGCTCAGCCGTTGCACTCATCAAAGATGATGGAGGTGGGAGGAATTAACGATGTACACCAGTTAAACATCTAGATGCATGAGAGTCTCACTGATGCCTGGAATGTGTGATGCTGATTGCATGTTCAGGGCGACTGTGAGCTTATTTTTCACATTAGCATAGCTACAGTGCTTTATCAGAGGATCTCATGCTTGATTTCCAAAGCTGTGTGAACCAGGAAGGAGGATGTGTGAAAGAAAACAGAAATTTATCTAGTCATGCTGTAAGCAATTGAAGTGTTCTTGGTCCATCTCTAGGCTTGAGAGTTTGGCCTGACCTCAGTCATGCACTTGTGTTAAAGAAACAACAACAAATGCTCCTTCAGCCTTCATAAAACCTCACACTGAATATTTGAGCAGAAACAGTGAACACTGTGTGATTAGTGCAGTGACGGAGATGACATGAACAGAAATTAAGTGCACTCACTCATATTTACAGGGTGGAAGGATTCAGCCCTGCAGCTGGTGATCAGTTTATTAAAAAGGGAGGTTGTTTAGTAAAATCCACATATTTGAAGGAAAGACTTGGAGGAGGAAGAATGATGATTTCGAGCCAAAAAATGAACTGGAGTTACAGTGCCCGGACAGATGCTCTGGCAACAGTGAAAGAGTGGCAGTCTGGGATAAAGGAGGTGGTGGTACCTGTCTGCACGCAGTGTGGCACAGGACATCACTCCACAGCTGTCACAGGGAAGAGCACTTCATGGTGGAACGAGGGGTAGGCTCAGCCACTGGATCTTTTCGTACATCTCAGCCTGGTTTTGAGGACTGAGCCTCACCTCTTCTCTGTGCTAAACGGACTGTAGTCTTATGCTTGATTTCCATAAAAATTAGTCAAGATGGGTTTTTTTGAATTAAATGTTCAAAATATAAGCTCCAGTAACTCTTAAAGGCTGTATCTACAAAAGAACGAGTTTCTACAGCCTAATCATGCATGGTATTGCAGCTGAAATTTGCAGAAATCTTAAAAATGGGAACATGTAGGTGCTATTTTCAACAGTGTATAAATCCTATTCAGAGCCTGAAAATCTCTGGCTTGATGAATCTCTTCAGCTTTGATGGAGCATTGAGAACCGTTTTCCCCAATATGACCCTGAAGATTGAGCTTATATCTAAAGTCATATGATTACTGTTTGAAAGAAATCAGAACCTTCTGAATATGCCTTCTCTTTATGAGGCATAATCATAGTTTAAATCTTAATTGTTTTAAGAACAATTTCTTCAAGGCACCACTTGAAATATCTAAGCTGGATAGCTAGGTTTTGATCCCTGAATTGTTAGACATCCAGAATTTTAACATCCAACTTTTAGCATTTTTTGAAAGCACGTTTGATTATCTGAAGACTTTAAAGCTAACATTTGTAGTTTGATATAAATATTTCAAAAAGGTAGAAAGATTTAGTTGAATCATCATAAATATTTTGTAATGTTTAAAAGGTACTCTTAATAATATCTACCATAAAAAGTGCATCTGTAATAATTTTCTCAGTCCGAGATACCTTGATAGCAACATGAAGGTATTGGTTTTGGTATCCATTTTGGCATACTTCTGGCAGAACATGTCTTCATAAAGAATTTCTGAAAGGATGAAATGAAAACTATCATTCATACCATTAGTTGATTGTCTTGAAAAGACCTCTACGTGATTTGATATTACTGCTGTTTAACATGAGATAATGTTTGTTTAGCTCCTTATGAATTTAGTGAGCCATGATATGCAAAATTTAACTTTTTTTTTCGTAAGGCTATACAGCTCGTGAGGGACAAGTGGTAAGTTTTCATATGTTATAAGAGACGGAAAAAATCCCAACCCCATCCAGTTGATCAAAACCCCGTGGTTAAAGTACTTTTGTTTCAGTGACTACTTGGCAAAATCAGGGTGGTGCTGCGTCAGCTAAAGCAACATCTGTAGCAGGTGGAAAGCCGATTCTGACGCTGTATGAGCTGAAGTCAGAGCCAAAACTCGCAGCAAACAGTAAACTTTAGAGATGGACATAGCAAAGCATGTACTTAGTTAGGAGGTCAGTGTGCTTTAGTGTCTCTTTGTTGTTATGAATGGAAGCTGTTTAGGCAGTCTGTGCTGCAGGAACCTGGCAGTGCATACTTAATTGACTCACGATTCAGTGAAGTAGTGTTCAGCTACTTAGAAAGGTAGAGCACACTTTCAAGCAATGGCTTGGCAGTTCAGATGATAACGATAAATGCTTTTGCAAAGAGGAAGTACTTGAAAAAGTGTTCTTTTTGTGTCATATAACGGAGTTCAGAGAATAGATCAAGAGTTACACCATAAAGGTGCTTGCTTGCTGAACTAGTTGTAAATTTTATAGCAACATAATTTGCAGCGTGTGATTCATGGCTATTGGGTGTTTTTCGACTACATTTAAGTGGATTGCATTAGTACGTTTTGTGCTACAGAATACCTATGAGAACTTTAAAAGGATTCCCATTATGCTTAGAATTTTTTTAGATATCCACGAATAAAAAAAAGATTAAGAAACATAGTTTTATTGCTAACTTGTTTCGTTGTTGTTTATACATGAACTTTATAAGAAGTTACAGTAAAATATCTGAAGATGATCCAGTGCTCCAAAGGGATGGATCTCTTGACAATTGAGTGCCTGACAGTACACAGGACAGGCTTGCTTTCTTTTCCGTGTGTTTTGGTTTTGTGTTTTTTTTAGCACAAGTTGCTGTTTGCTGTTTTTCCTGGGAAATTAAGTTTGAAAGTTAGTGAACGGGAATCAGATTATTCTCAAATTTCAATTAGAAGCAAGTAGCTGAAGTATTAACAATGAGAATTTTCTTCCTACATGTTTAGCTGACATTGCTTTTGTTGTCTTTATTATCTTTAAGCAAAAGATATGAAAATGCATGAGTCAGAAGTGTCCTTTTGCTCAGGTTTTGTTTTGGTACTTGTAAGATTATAATCCTTGTTTTCCAGTTTGAGAAGACAAGGAAGTCTGTATAACCTACTGACGAGGACACTGAGCTGTCAGTTAACCATTGGTTTATCCTGTGCCCATTATTTCTCTGCTATTTTCCTGTTTCCCATCTAAAAAGGAAAAGTCCCCTGGTATCAACTTGTAATGTGTTTGATAAGAATGTCATAGTGTTATTTTGTTTCAAATGCAATACTGTATAGAATAAAATACAATACCGTAATAAAAATGCAATGCAAAAATTAAAAAATGCACGTTACAGTCTTTCTACAAATAGGGAAGGGATACAATTTCCTTGGGTTTATTTTTCATATAAAATTTATTAATAAATCACATTCAATGTGACTAAATTTCGTGGAAAGAGATTTTCCATGAGTTTATCCAAATCTTTTGTAATACTAATTGCTCCAAAGATACATCAAAAGTACCCCATGCATTTAAGTATTTACCAAAGTTTCTTGTCAAGGATTTGCTGCAGCATTTGCAATTCGTTACCTTCCTAGCTTTCTCAATTAAGTTGTTCCACATGCCCATAACGATTGTGAAGAAGTAGTGTAGTATGATCAAAAGTGAATGCCTACATGGCTTCTTCTTTTTATGTCATTGATTTGCAGGTGTCTGTATAGGAAGTTCATCTCGACATATTGTCACTTTTGATGGGCTGAATTTTAAGCTGAGTGGGAATTGCTCCTACACCTTGTTTCAGGACAGAGAACATCATATTGAAGTTCTCCTCCATGAAGGACCATGTAGAGCAACACCGAAGATGAACTGTATGGACTCCATTGAAGTGAAACATCGTGGTGTATCTGTTCAGCTCTTCAGTGACATGGCAGTAAGCTAAACACAATGAAGTGATCTGTGCGTTGTCTGCTCATGCTTTAGAATTCAGGTTATGAGGGCAAATTTGTTCTTTTATCCAGTTTCTGTTCCCCTTGCTGAAGCTTCTGAGCAAAGACCTTGTTTTGATTTCATGATACAATCTACATTCACGTAACAAGCCAGACAAGTCAGTTTTTAAAACTCTGGGTTCCTCAGACGTTGGTAATCAGGGTCTGTAGATGGCATTTTAACTGCATGGTGTTGGATCGCTGGTCTGTTTCTACGTGATGCTGAAGGAATGCACTTATGGGAAAATGTTGAAAGAGTTTTTCATATAATACACAGAATGAAGGTCAATTAGTTCTGTGCATTTTTAGACTCAATAGAAAGTTTCAGCTTGCAAAATTGATTCTTATGTCCAGATTCAGTTGGATCTTCAAGTATTTGTGAAGTCAAGATGTGTTTCAACTGTAAGATTGGCTTTATTTTTAGCTGCTTGATAGAACTGATGTGATGATCTTGCCTTTTTGAAAACAGGTGGCTGTTAATGGTGAAAGGGTTCATATCCCCTATTCTAGCAGTTTGTTTGAAGTCGCAATCTATGGAGCAATAATGCATGAAATCAAGTTCTCCCAACTTGGACATAATCTCACATTTACTCCAAGAAACAATGAATTTATTCTTAAACTTAATTCAAAGAGCTTTTCTTCAGGAACACAAGGGCTGTGTGGTAAGTTTGAAAACTATTAATTTTAACAGCTTCTTACTTGGGCTTGAATTGCTATTCATGTTTATGGAATTTGTGTGATCCTGAACCTGTAAACTCTCTGGCTGAACTGATGCCCTGTTGTTGGCACTTTGGTAATCTATGTAGGTTTTTCTAGTATGGTCATCAGTGTCACAGCTCACTGACTCCCAGTAATACCTTAGAAACAGCAAGGCTAGACATCTCTCATGTTTTACTTATTTCACAATATCTATTCGAGGAGATTTTTTTTTTTTTTTTGATGAGGCTTTAACTTTAGATGCTTACATATACATTTATGTGAGAGATAAGTCCTATACTTGTAGTGAAGGTGAAAAGTTTGTGAGGGGTACTACTACCTGGGAGAATTAATTCTATGGTGTCCTCTAAGGTATAATTTATTGTATAGCTTATACCTCTGTGGCATAACCTATATCTCCTGTAATAAGGAAATGGGAAACAAGACCCAGGGTTTTTATGCCTCCATTGATAATAGCTAGAAGGAATATTGTTTGTTCCTCTTCCCCTTGGTGTTCACTGCGCAGCTGCATCTGTCCTGCGCCTGTTTTCTCTGGGTTTGTTTATTGCTGTATTCAGACTCTTTCTTTTCCTTTTACTCGCCTTCCCAGGGGTGTGTGATCAAAACCACATCAATGACTTCACGTTACATGATGGCTCTGTCACTCCTGACAGCAGCGTGTTTATTCGAGACTGGATGTTGGAAGAGCCAGGGAAGATCTGTGAAATCCGGAGAGAAGACAGATGCTCTGAACATGCCACAAGCCACTGCCACCTTCTGCTCTCCGATCGGTTTGCAGAATGCCACAGGGTAATCTCCCCCAACATGTTCTACGAGGCCTGTACAGAGGAAAGCTGCTATGAGGATGAAGCCTGTGAGATGATAACTTCCTACGCTCACATCTGCAGTGAAAACGGGGTCTGCGTAGACTGGAGAACACCCGAGTTTTGTCGTAAGGGATTTACCCTACATTAAAACTGATACAGAAACCGTCTAACTTGGTGATGGTTGTGACAATGACCATCTTGTCGGTGTAATATTACTTTTTGAATACTGTGTAATGAGGCAGAAGTTCCAGATCAAGTTTCACGTATAAGTGGTATTACAGGTCTGGTAACTGGCTGCATACTATGGAAAACTGTTTCTTAGTGAACTGCTAAGTAGTAAAATGCAAGGTAGTTATGCAAAGCTAGAGAGGTAACCTAGGAAATGAACATACTGTGGAACCTATGCTCAGGCAAACACAGCTATGTGACAGTGTCTGACTCTGCAGCTACAGAACCATCGTGGGACCAGGTTTGCACTGAGAGGCTGCTCTAATTCTGCCAGGCAATTTTAGCTGCAGATGTCATTGTTTTGGTATGGACATCGGAGGGTCTGTACAAGCCAGACAGGGAAACTCATAATTTAGAGTAGTGGAACTGCTCCCCAGCCTGCCACTGTTGTAGCTGCCAATGGCACAAAATAAGACTTTTTGCTGTGATACTTTCTGCAAATTCCCCACATTCCAACCAAAGCCTAAGTCTTTCAGACTGTGGTGGAAGAGCCAGTGTGATTTTAAGTTTCTACTGCAGTGAAAAATGGAGAAATGGCCACTCTTGGTGGTATATTTTCTTGACAGCACACGGCAGCTACATTGATCAAGCCAGCTGTAATTTACTTTGCAAATCCAGTTCTCTTTCTGGCTGTGTTTTGCTTGTGTTTTGGGGGTGAAGAGTTTGTTCTGTGAGAAAACAGTGTAGCAGGACGTAAGCCTTGCAAATGGCCCAGAGCCTGATGGAAGCAGGGCAATCACACTAGTGCTAAATTCAGATGATTGTTACTTTGTGTACCTATTCTCCTAATTTCTTACAGATATAAGGTTTTATGCCTGTCTTCTTGCCTTTTTGCTTTTCTTATTTTCCTTTTTTCTCTGACAGCCCTATTATGAGAGAAAGATCTGCCAAAAATGCAACATATAGTAAAGTGCAAATAAGTAATTCTTGAGGTGGTTTATTGAGTGCCCTCTGCTGTTAGTTTGTCTGCAGTAATGGTTACAAACATTCAGATATACACTCACAGTGTTTCTGGTTTAGTCAGGTGTCTGAGATGTGTGTGTATGTGGGCATTTTCTTTCCCAGCTAGTCCCTCATGTAGTTTCTTGATACGCCTGTTGTTTTTTCCATCTCCTGCCTCTCTGGCTTAGTCAATTCTTCTTGCCTTGCCTGCTTTCCCTCTTGCAGATACTTTTCATTTCAGAAGTAGAGAACCAACATCATAAAGGCATGATACCACAAAACCACAGTACATGTTTTGATTTTGTTTGTGTTTTAAACTCAGACTGAGGGAATTGTGGGATAAGAAGTCACGAATGTGAATGTGAATTTGGCCTGAGCCTCTAATTAGTGTCTTAGATATCTTTTCAGGATAGGCTATTGAAAAACATGTTGCTGTTGCGGATTGCATCTTCTAAGAAACAACACAGTCTATTTGGAATATAGCTCTAGAAAACAGAGGGAGAATACTGACAGACATTTTCTAAATTTAGTGCTTCAGTCAGACTTTGCAAATTGTAATGTCAGAGGCTGAACGTCAGCGGGGTACCTTAATAACTCTCTGCAGTTTTCAAATTCCTGACTTGTTACACTGCATGTACAAGGACAGCCAGAGAGTTGCCCATTTTAACACTAGTTGCATAAAACAGTCGTTAGTGTCCTAACAATAGCATCATCTTCATAATTTTATGGGAAATTTGTTTTTTGATTGGTTTTTTCCCCCCAGGTTGTCTTTTACTATGCTCTTCCCTATTTATAAAAAAAAAAAAGTCATTTTTTTAATGGAGCCAACAAGCTGAGGATATAACATCAATACATGATCATATAGCATCATACAGGCTAGTATTTGAGGTAGATTTCTTTTGAAATGAATTTGGCCAAAGATTTACTCTTCTATTAGTTGGTTTTCAGCCTTATTTTCCCCTTTTGCTAGTACCCACAGTCTTTCCCTTTTTATTCAGAAGCAATAAGCATTTGAGGTGAGCACTGAAATAGCCAGCCAGGAGGATGGTTTGTTGAAATATTTTTTTCTGAGGCTGACTGTGGGGAGTCCTTAATGCTCCTCACATTTCTCACATTCATCTGGCAGAAGTCACCATACAAAAAGCAGAGTTACCTGGAAGTCGTGTAGGACCTGGCCAGATTTCTGGAGCATAAGGGCAGTAACGTATCTGAGGTGGCTTTCTACGATTGCCTGGTTGTTATTATGCCAGCAGGATGAAAGGATGTTTAGGACAATTTTCCAGACATTGATGGAGTTTATCCCATCTCTTGACACTGCTTATGCACATCTCATTCCCGTGCCCCTAAGGACAGAGGTGACTTCAAAACAGGGGCATTCACATGAGCTCATTTATGTTTCTTTGTGAAACATAACCACCTCGTTTCTTCCTTTCTTGAAAACACATTGCCATTTTACACAGGCATACAGGCTTTTTGATAGCATATCTGGAGTCCAGGGTGTGGTTCTTCATTGCATTTTTCAAACACCTGGCTTCTTAATGCCAGCCAAAGTGGAGGAAGGAGGAGGGACTATGTTACATGAAGTACATTAGAAGCTTTAGCATTGGTACTGATTCTGCTTGGGAGCTGTCCAGGTTCTACACTGATGGGCATCAGCATTAAACTCTGCACAAAATTAGATTAATTTATTTTAGAGAAGGTTTACTAGATTTTCTTTAGGGCTGGTGGTAGGTAAGCAAGATGAAAGCCATTGTGCTGAATATATTTACTGACACTGGAATGAAAAAGTAAATGACACGCTACCTTAACAATTACTGTAGATATATTAAAGCTGACTTGAGACCATCACAGGCAATAAGCACTGGTGCTTACTGTAGTCTCCTTCTTTACAGAACTGTTTCTGGGAATGAGTTTTTCTGGAAAACACAGTATAGTCTAGTAGCCAGGTTTATAAGCAAGCAACTTCTCCTGTTTTACTTGGGTAGACCTTTTTTTGTGTTTTCAGAATCTAGCCAAAGCATTTCATAACAGGATTGGACTCTCCATCAAGTTCTCATGGCTCTTCAAGTTCCTCTGCGTCTGCTGAGCTATGATGGTTGTCCATACATACAATCATAGACTCCAACACACCAGAAGTAATCAGATTTATTGTGACTTGAAACAGAAAAGGGTTAAAGACATTTCTTTTTTGTTTCCTTTGGCTAAGGGTGTGTGCAGACAGTTTAGCTGATGAATACTTGTTTAGTTGAGAGCTCATGTCTTTATTCAGTAATTTTCTTTCAATGTTTTTTGTCAAGGGACTGAAAAAAAATTTATAAACCTCACAGCAGTCACAAACTGGGAAATAAGAAACACTTATCCTAATTGAGCTGTAGAGAAAAATAAAGTAGACTTAAGGGAGTACACGGTATGGAAGCTGTGTCCGTAGGTTTCTTGAATAGCTATAGCCTTCGTTTTGTGTTTGCTTTTGAGACAATACACCCAGTGTTGTGAGCTCATCTAAAAATTTTGTGTGTTGGCTTAGGGAGGAATGCACCTTTCCATGATTCGGTTAATTCTGTTAGTAAGACAATTCAGTTAATGAGGTGCAGAAATCCAGCAGGTTCCATTTTGAAGTACCGAAATCTTCTGTTCGTTAGTTTTCTTTAGTTGCTTGGGAACACTGCTGCCTATCAAGTTATTAAAAAAAAAATAAAAATCTTTGTTCAATGCTTTAGTCTGTCCTGGATATCTCCTAACCTTGCACTGTTACCAGTGCTTCTCTAATACATGTGGAGGTGATTGTAAATTCTTGTGTCTCTTGCCCAGTGCTGAAAACAGTTAGTCAAGATGTTTAGCGCATGTGAGCTATTGTATCATTATTAGGGTAAGTCATACTTTCCTGATTCATGTGGCCTGAAAATGTGGCTTGATGATTTCTGTATGGACTGTAACTTAAGCAAATGCCTTCAATCGCTTTCCTCTGTGGATTTTGTTTTAAAAATATATTTTCAAAGATGTTAGTGGCTGCAGAGGACAAAATATGTTAATCAGGTGGTGGCTTTCAAAAACCTGAACAGAATTCTAAAGAAAGTGGGAGTGGAAACATTTATCTGCATTTCAGATCTCTTTAGATAAAGAGTTTTTTTTCTGTCTTTTTCAGCAATGAAATGTCCCACGTATCTGACATATGATCACTGTCACAAAGCCTGCGTAAAGCGCTGTGAGAATAGTACCAAACTCAGTGTCTGCAAGGATTATCCCACAGAAGGCTGCTTCTGTCCAGACGGACAGGTGATTTTTAATGACAGCTGTGTTAATGAAGAAGTCTGCACACGATGTGTCAGTGAAGATGGCACGTACCATCAGGTAACTATATACTTAGCAGCTTACCTTTGTGAGCGGTTGAGGTTTGTACTTTTGCAAGTAAACCTCTTATAAATCTAACTATTTTCCCCTTTGGATGCTTTATTTTCTAGCTCAGTTCCTCATAACCAGCCGGCTGTCAGCTCCATGTAGCTCCCCTAGTGTGAAATTGGCTGGGATGGATATAAAATTCACAGCTGGGACTGTGCAGACCCGGAAATGCATGACAAATTTGTGTGGAGGGAGGTCTAGAGGGAAGAGAGGAGGGAATGGCATAAGTCACCATTTACCAGGATAAATACTTCCATTCAGCAGGCTTTTACCAGTAACGACAATTTCCTCGTAAATCTGGAACCCTTGCTTAAAACATATCGTATTGTCTTAGCAAAGCTTACTGAAATATTTTCAGTGATTGATGTGGAACAGTGAGACTCACAACCTTATGTCAAGTTGTATTAGCCTACCTCCTGTTTGGTTTGTGTGTTTCTTTTTTTTTTTTTTTTTATGAGAATCATTCCTTTGATGAAATGAATCATTTTAGTTTTACTGAAAATCTACTTTCCTCAGCTAAGTCAGACCTCTCTGTGGCAGAATGGGACTGGGGGGAGCTATGGGTGCTGGGTGCAAGATTGCAGTGGGAGACGGTTGATTTCTCTTTTAGCATCTCACAGCGGGTGTGCAAGCACCCCCGTGCGTCCCGTGTTCCAAGTGACAGGGGTCGTTCCTCTTCACTCCCAGCTACTCAACTCTTGAGAGTTTTCACCTAAGTCAACCAGTCCTCTTAAATCTGCAGTTTTGTTATGAGACTTTAAGAAGCAGCGGCTTTAATTTCAGTATTTTATGAGCTTTAGATTCTCATTGGATTTTTGGATGGTCTTATACTCATCAAATCTGCTGTCAAAGACATAATCACTTTTGTAACATAGGTTTTCTGTAAATAACAGAAGCCTCTGGCAGTATTTTGATAGTCTGTTATTTAAGTAAAAAGACAGATTTTAAAAAGTAAATGAATGTATGAACTCTGAAGAACATCGTTTTACATACACAAATTTAGACTCGCATTTAGATCAGCAAGAAACGTATTAAAATATTTACAGTTAAACTGAAAGGAAGCAAAGACTATTTGTGGCTGAAACATCTCTTTTAAATACTGTTTGCATTGATTAACGTGACGACAAAAGCATCAAACTTAAGAGTCAACACCTTTCTTTAGGTGATAGGGTACCAGCGAGCCAGACACTTGGCTTGGTGAAGCAGTGTGTTGCGTCGGGAGTCGCACCGATGGCAGGTCTGCACCCGGAGCCCTCGCACGGGACAGGTCCACGCGTCCAAGGATCCCTCTTTGCCATGGCTTGTGCCTCAGTGCCGCCTGCTGACACTGTCAAAGCACAGCGCTGTGAAAAAGCATTCACTAAATATTATTTTGAGGGTTTTCTACTGCGTCGGGAAAGCGCGTTCTTTCGTTCTGCAACTGCGTTATCACAACGATGTTTTTCGAAACAAAAGGATAGAGTTTTCTGAAGGAATCATAGAATGGTTAGGGCTGGAAGGGACCTTCAAAGGTCATCTAGTCCAACCCCCCTGCAAGGAACAGGGATATCTCCAACTAGAATGAGCACAAGTAGCTTGTATTAGCTTTCATTTTAAGGTTACAGTATCTCCGTACATATGGCCATGATATTTTCTTTGTGTTCTGTTTTGGATCTTTGTTTTAAATGCAGTATCATTGAATTTATGTAGTGCTTACAGAGTTGGTAAAATCGAAGGGAAAAAAAAAAACCAGTCATTTTTGTAATAAAAAGAATAGAAAAAAAATCTTATTATTTCTTTCAAAGGAAAAAATAGCTTGCAATGTATATAATCACCGCCCTAAATACAGATCAGCTGTGCACAACTCTCAGTGACTCTGACAACTCTAGTTATTGTATTATGATTCTATGTGAAATGGTTATTGCAAATGCAGATTAAAGTCTAGGATCTGTGTGCCTTAAATCCCTGAATCCTCAGGCAATGCAGTGCATTTTCCATTTAAATAGTTATTTAAAGCCCTCATGGAGGAAAGCTCAGCACACATCTTGGGAATAATGTCTGCAGTGGTGTCTACTTGTTTCTGCAGAAGTTCTGAAATTCATGAGTTGTCGCATGCACCTTAATGGAGTTTTAACTCTGAAAACCTCTCGTCTGTACCCCAATGGCAAGGCTTAGGTGCAGCTGCTGTGTGGATGGGGAGGTGGAAGGCAGGGGAGGATCAGCTCACACAGCCGTTTTGCGTCTCCACCATTGCAGGATTAGCTGTGTGAGCAGTACAACATGCAGTGCGACTGGTGGTGGGTTATGATTTCCTTAACCCCCTTCTTTCCCTCTGGTATTCATTCCTCTGTTCCTTTCTACCCTAGATCGTGCTTGGGCTTACGGGTTTCTCAGTAGCAACACCCATATAGAGCTCTACTAACACCGTGCTATCTCTTG